AGCTCGGGGGTTTGCGATGGAGATGACCCTCGGGTGGATCGGATGGCTTGATGGAATCAACGATCACGATTGCAGGTTGTGACGGCTCCTCAGATGCACCAGTTGGGAATCGACTCCGCGTCTGTATCGTGGCAGGGTACTATTCGACCACTGGACCACTACTGCTTGTTGTTTAACATGCACCTCTTATCTAAATTTCTGTCTTTACATCACGTATATTCCTTCCTCACTGCTGCTTCGCTGCTCGCGTTAACCTCATGACCAAGCAACCCTCTGTCAATCTATAAGCTCCGTTATTTTGCGGAAAATAAATAATTTTAAAATATTTTTTTAAAAACGATAACTTATATCATTTACGTAAATTATCACGGTAATGAAAGCGTTTCATATCGATTCCTGATTTTAAGTGATACAAGATCACTTTTATCGTTCATTTTGCGGAGCAAATGGGCCATAATCTCTATAAAAATTCGTTTTAAAAAATATTGAAATTCGAAAAATATACATATGCTCCTTTGAAATTAAGTCGGTAGCAGCTTGTTTCGTGCACATAATTATTCCACGTTGTGTTAATTAAAAGCTTATAAATCCATCATTAAAAAGCCATGCGAAGCACTAGTTCACCTAATACGACACACCTCAACACCACTACGTGACAAAAAATTAAGGCTCGATTCGTTTCGCGAAAAATAAGCTTTGAGGAAATTGTTTTGGATTTTCGGTGTTCGGTTCACGGAAAATAAATGAGTCAATAAAAACATATTCCGTCAATGAAAAAACACCTTAAAAAATAGGGGAAATGATTTCCTCTTTTCCCTCCTCTTTCTTTCACCCAAACCAAATACGTTCTCCTCCACGCACTCCTTTTAATTATTTCTTCTTTTCTTTTCTTTTTCTTTTCTAAGCAGGGCTTAGAACTCTTGCACAATTAGTTAGATGTGGTCGAGTTTTATTGACATTAGAGATGTCAAATGGGTGGGTTGGATTGGGTTTAGATGAGTCATTAATGGGTTTAACACAAATTCACCAATTTAACTCATATTGATCAATTTATATTCTAAACAACTTATATGACCCATGCCCAACCCAACTTAACCCAACCCATATCCAATCCAAATCCACCCATACAACTCATTTTTTTCTAACAATTTAGTATTTAGCAAATTTAAAATATATTAAAAAAAACATCTCGGGACTCTTGCGCAACCAGTTAGATGTGGTTGAGTTTTATTGACATTAGAGGTGTCAAATGGGTGGGTTGGATTGGGTTTGGATGGGTCGTTAATGGGTTTAACCCAAATTCACAAATTTAACTCATATTAACCCATTTATATTCTAAACAATTTAGATGATCCATACCCAACCCAACCCAAACGTAATCCAAACGCACCCATGTAACTCGAAAATTTTAGGGTTAATACCACGAAAACCCCAAATTGGTACACGCGTGACAAATTTACGAATTAATTTTTTTGACCACCAAAAACCCTACACCTGTGATAAATTTACCTCAAACTAATTTTTTGACCACTAAAAATCCAAAACTTGTACACTTATGACAAATTTACCCTCCGTTAAATTGCATTAATACCACGAAAAATCACAAATTGATAAACTTATGACAAACGGAAGGGTAAAAGCACTAAAAAAGACACTCATTCTGGCGTACCACGTGTCGTCCAACTTAACATGAATTCGACGAAAAATTTAATGGAAAGTAACGGAGTGTAAATTTGTCGCAATGATATCGAGTTTGGGGTTTTGATGGTATTAACCTTTTTTTTAACTATTTAGTATTTAGCAAATTTAAAATATACTAAAAAAAACCATCTCAGATAGATTTTCATCCCACGACTCTGCCCCTTCCTCCGCTGCCGACACCACCCTGAATCGCAAAAAGGGCAAAGAAAGAAGAAGCTTAGGGTTTTGCGAGATATTTGATCCTAGGATGAATCCGTTAGCGATCACAATCGTAGGTTGTCACAGCCCTTCTTGTATTCCCGGTCTGTACCGTGGCAGGGTACTATTCTACCACTAGACCACTGGTGCTTGTTTTTCAACATGCAGCTCCTTTATATACATACATACATACATACATACATACACACACACACACACACATCTAAATTTCCGTCCCTACATGAATTGTGTTGCCTTGTTGCTAATGCTTGCTGCTTGCGTTAGCTTCATGACCAAAATAATAGCTCATATCGCTTTTCAAAATAAACAGACGAAAAATATATTTTATTATTTGTGAAAAAGTTTAGACATAAATTGTTATAGATAATAAAAACGTTTTACACCGACTCAGTAATTTAAGTGACATAAACGATCGTTTTAAGATATTTTCCAAATCATTTGTTTTTACGTGAAACAAATGAAGTAATCTCGACCGAAATTCGTTTTAAAAAAGAAATTGGAAAAATATATAGATGCTCCTTTGAAATTAAGTCGGTAGTAGCTTTATTTCGTGCACATAATTGTTTCAAGTTGGCATTAATTAAAAGCTTATAAACCCATTATTAAAAAGCCGTACGAAGCATTGGCTCACCTAAGTTTCCGGCACCCTCGACACCCCAACGTGACAAAAAAATTAAATTACGGCATGTCCAAATGTCTACCATTATTTATGAAGAACAAAGTACATATGATATGAACCACCAAAACCAACACAATTAAAGGAAGAAAATCACCCCCCAAAAAAGGAAAATAAAGTACCAAAAACATCCCCCAACCTTAGGAAAATTACCAAATCAGTCCTAAAGTTATTGCAATTATGCCAATTCAATCTTAAAGTTTTTTTGTCGATTCGATCCTAAACTTTTTGTATTTGTCTGATTCAATCAATTTGGTCAATTTTGACTACCGGCATCGGACGTTCGGCCGATAATGACGTGGCAATTATTTTAATATTTTTATTTTTTTCCTTTTTTTCCCTTTCTCTTTCCCTTTTTTTTTTCTTTCCTTTTTCCCCTCGCTGACCATTGGTGAGGCTCGCCCTCGCCTGGCAAGGCCATCGCGGGCGAAGTCGAGCCTCGCTTGGCCATGGTGAGGTTGCCCAACCATGGCGAGGCTAGCCCTTGCCCAGCGACGGTGAGGTCGAGCCTCGCCACTTCGCCCGCAACGGCCTCGCCCTCGCCGGCACTGGCGAGGGCGAGCATCACTAGTGGCCTTGCCGGCCTTAGCCCCTGGGAAAGAAAGAAAGAAAGAAAAAATAATGGAGAAAGGAAATAAATAAATAAATAATTGGAAAAAATATTTAAAAATTGCCACGTCAGCATCAGCTGGACGTCCGGTGCCGGTCGGCGTTCGCGTCAGCGTTGGCCGGCAAAAATTGACCAGATAGATTGAATTTGCATAAATGTAAAAGGTTTATGACTAAATTGACACAATTGCAAAAGGTTTAATACTGTTTTCGTAATCTTCCCCCCACCCTTAGAGTTTTAATGTTTTCCTCGTCTTCCCAAGTTCGCACCTGAATTGAATCACATCCACCAGAAGTGGGTGCGGGCACAGGGGTTCTTTCTTCTTCTTCTCCGCCTCGTTGGGGGGCAGGCATTCAAAGGCTCTGTTTTTTCTGGCTCTGCCGAGAACCAGGTGTGTGAGGAGGAAGGAGTGGCCAGGAGGAGCCAAAAAAATTGAATGCCCTCTAGAGTTTTCCCATATTGTCATGTTGGGGGGCAAGCAGGGCGGCGTGCCCCGGCTAGTCGTACTGAGACCGGTTTAGTGTTTACATAATGGGGTGTAACGCGTGATCCTAACGGGCCGGACAAACGGGTTTCTAAGTAGGTTGGCGGTGTTCAACGGTCGATAACAGTCTGCCACGTCGGTCGGGCTCACGGGTTAATATTGTAAAACCAATCTTAATTGGGGCAGGGGAAAGAAACAAAAGGAGAGTGGGGGGAGAGGTGACGCCTGATGCAGTTCTGTATTTTTCAGGTGGTGTTCTCCAGGTTTGATATGGGGGCCATGCCTATTGTTTTTGTGCGTCTTGGGGTCCCATTTATCAGTCCAATCTGAGGCCCGCAAGATCCAGATTTAGGGATTCTTGGTCGCCCCACAGCCTTCACAGGTCACTCCCAGCTGTTGTTTCTCCAGCACTCGTTTCCCTCCAAATCTTCAGTTTCCACAAGCCATTCAATGTCAACCTCTCTCTTTCACTCTCTTGTGTTTGTCAATACTTTAAGTTTCAATTGAAAGGAAATTTGCCAAATAGGAGAGCTTTCTGCCACTCAATTACTGGTGGATTTATGAGTGATTATAATATAATATAATGTACACCGCCAATGTAGAATATATTTTGCACATGTGGCGTCGTACACCGTCCGTCTAGAAGAGTGGATAGTTGTAACTCTCAAATCAATAATGAACAAGGCTATATGTGTAAAAAAGAATTCTACTCAGTGTGGACACTATTTTTTACTAATCTAATAAGCCAAATTAAGATATAAATCTCGGAATTACGTGGGATGTTTTGGCTTAACTATCCATGTGGAAACAAACATGCTTTCTTCACAAAACTCTGTTCCTCCTTTCAAAACAAGTTTCGATTACAATACTAATCAAAGCTTATGCATGACAAGAAAAGAACACTATAACGAGCTCAACATGTGATCGAAGTCTCAACTAGGCACTGTAGATTGCACGATCGATCCCCGTTCATCCCATCATTTGGCAAGTCGTAAAATTGACCCCACTATGTTGCCCCAAAAGAACTTTTCGAGCCTGCCCCTTGAATTATATGAACACCATTATTATCAGCAAGTAATCCACTCCGGAAAAAAGAGGGAGTCATTCAATTTGGGGCGAAATTATTGGCAACCGCATTATTTTCTCTCTCCCCCAGTTTCCAAAATTCAACTTTTTCATGCGCAGTGCGGCGAAGAGTCAGTCAGTCCCCGCGAAATCACCGGCAAGCTGGCCATCGAATCGCATTTAAAACAGTTGCTGCTCTTCGATACCCTTTGTCTTCCGCATTGAACACATTTGTACAGACGAAATCCAACAGATCAAAGGATAGAGATATGATTCAGCAGCCTACATAAGACCACACGAAATGCTGTCTAGCTAGTTATGGTAAACTGACGGGGTTAATTCGCAACGTTTAATTGACACCGGCAGATGCAACCATGCACGCATACATCTGTACAATGATGATAATCACTTTACAAAAGAGAAGAAAACAAAAAGAGAAGCCGGTGTGTTTCTTGTCAGATCGCCGAAATCCGTCAGGAGGGCGTGCCCAGTCGTCTCCCGCCACGTGGTCAGTGCAGGGGCGACCGGTGAGGGATGCCCTTCCGCCGGTTAACGAAGCCGGCCACGTCCGTCGCCGGCAGGCACCTGAGCCGACCCGTCACCCGGGTCATCGGGACCGGGCGGCTGCGCTTCCTCCTGACGAACTCGGCGCTGGGGGTTGAGTCGGGGGACGCGGGCGGCGAGACGGGCAAATCGAGGACCGAGTCGAGGGTGACGTGTCCATCTTCGAGCTCCGGGAATCCCTCGTTGGATGGTTTGTTCAGTGATGGAAGGGGCTCACAGCTGTGGTTTTGGAGCCGTTTCTCGAGGCCAATTTTTTTGGTCATTCGGTGGTGGACCTGCATTTTTAGGATGAAAGATGAAACTCGACCAAGAAAGAAGAAATAGCTAATCCAAACTAAGTTCTGAGCAGAGTCGAGCTGCTCGAGCTTAATTCGTGCATTACTCGAACCGAACTCGATTCGTCTCGAGTTCCAAGTAGCTCGAGGATAATCGGGGTCGACCTCGAGTAATTCAATTTCAGTTTTAGTAAGAATGGGATTGGACCTTGCATGAGAGAGAGCAGAAGAGGAAGCCTTCTTGGAGGCTTCGGTCACAAGTGACGCAGAAGTTGCCCAAGCCTCTGAATGGCCGAGACATTGGCCTCTGGTTCAAGAACACCACTTTCGCGCTGTTTGTTGTGTATGGCTGTTTATCAAAACGATACATTCATCAAAATAAGTTCAATTGGAAAAAAAACAAGAACGGTAGCATATTTTAGGGGCACGCGTCTGCGCAGAGACTCTGATATTACTTGGACGAGGGAACAGTTGAGTAGTTTCTGCGCATCATCCAAGCGAATGACATCGTGGTACACATACCTCCTTATCTGAGAAAAAATCACAAAGAAATGATGAATTGAAGCAAAATTCAAGACACGCTGTTTTAGTAGTAAAAAGGGTGAATTTTGGGTGGAGATGCGAACCTGCAAGAGATGGTGATGGCGATGAGGAGGCAAGCAATGAGGGCAAATGCTGACGCAGCAATCCAAGCAAAACGTGTTCTTCTCGTTCTTCTTCACACAGTCGTGAACACCGCACGGATCGAAGAACTTCTCTCCGAGGAGAATTCGGAGCCACCGGGGAATATTTGAACCCCCACCACCACCACCACCACCGACCTGACCCAAAAAAAGAAAGAAAGAAGGGCACAACACCCACATGGAAAATTCAATGACCCATCTCACAAGATCCCCCAAAAATTCGAAAGAACTCAAAATATTGAAAATCTAGTAACGAAGGTCACCATCTTTTCTCAAGCAAAAGTTTCTTCTCTGTTTCTGAAGACGAAGACAGGGTCGAGAGACTCGAGAACAGAGCAGAGACAGCTAAGGCTTTTGTCAGGCTTTTATACCAATAGTTCCATGAGAGAGAGACAGAGAGAGAGTGATGGAATTGGAGAAGAGTGCAAGCAAAGAAAGTGGAAACGGCGCGCCGGTGGGCATGTAATATTTACTCTGCTTCTGTGATTTTACCAATGAAGAGCGGAAACAGGGGAAGTTGGGAGGTTCATTTAAGGACGAGAAGCTCTCTTTTCTTTTCCCTTTTTTTTTTTTTGCTTAAAAAACTCATTCGCGTGCACTGTTCTTGATGATCTGATTTGAACTTTCGAGAGAAGTTCCAAAGCAAATCTTTCTCGTGCTGGTTTCACTCCTAGAAAAGCTAAGAACCCTAATCTACGATTCTATCTTCCCGCATCAAATCTTTTACCCATATCTACCACACTCCCCAGGATGTGTTGTTACTCCCATCATCAGTTCTAGTCCGTCTGAGAGATGATAAACATAATAAAGTCTAATTTATAAAATTAGCTTTGCACGTATAATTTATCTTTGCCGCGACTGGATAACTAACGTGTCGTTGTCGACAATTCATTAGATCAATTCGATTACCACTCGATAGACAAATTAACCCTTGAATGGAGCTACTTATAAATTTGTAATCACGAGGGTGGAAACGAAATTTGAATCTTTTTTTTTAAATAAAGGGTAAAAAGCTACCAAATACCCTAAATTATGTCCATCGTGACACATTTATTCAGATCTATCTTTTGTGATGCCAAAAACCTCAAATTTGTATCAGTGTGACAAATTTGCCCCAAATTTGTAGCCGTGCGATACAATTATCCCAAACATTTTTCGTGACACAAAAATTCCCAGATTTGTATATATGTGACACATTTACCCTAAACTTTTTTGTGATACCAAAAATCTCAAACTTAGACTCGCTCCGTACATTTACCCTTAGTCAAGATTTTTTATTTCTTCCTCCTTCGCCTTTGCCGCAGCCCTTGCTGCCGCCGCCCTTACCATTATTATCGCTATTGTCCTCACCGTCCCCAAACTAAGGCTGTGTTCGTTTGCGGAAAATATTTTTCCGGAAAATATTTTCCGCGTTTTCCGGTGTTCGGGGTGGGAAAACATTTTCCTTCCCCACCCCCAAATCCTTCATTGTTTTGAGGAAAATGATTTCCTCTTTTCACAAAGAGAAATCATTTTCCCCAAATTGAAAGGAAATTGCCCATGAGAGGGAAAATATTTTCCGTGGGAGAGGAAGTGCCCGCGCCGGTCGCCGCCACCGCGCCTCATGCCTGGCCGGCCGCACGCCTGCGGCTGGTCGCCGGCAGCGGGCCGGCACTGCTGGCGGCTGCAGCCACCGCAGCCCTCGCGCCGCCCCTCCGCCGCCACCGGCCGCCACGCCGATCGCTGGCCGCCGGTGAAAAATATTTTCCGAAATTTTTTCATATTGATCGCCGAACACCGGAAAATTATGTTCGGGAAAACATTTTCCAGGAAAATGACTTCGAAAATATTTTCCAAAGAATATTTTCCGCAAACGAACTGGTAGCTAAGAAAGAAAACAATGGAGGAAGTTAACAAAAAAAAAGAAAAAAGAAAGAGAGGAAAAAAAACATACGACGGGTTGACATATTTTTCCCACATGAGTGCCACGTCAGCTCCGTTTTACATGTAATCACATAAGATTTTTAGCGCCGTTCATTAACGGAATTTTGACGGACAAGTTTGGGGTGAATATATCACAAAGTATAAATTTGTGATTTTTGGCATCACAGAAAAAAGTTTGAAAGGTGAATGTGTTAATGGTGTCATAAGAAAAAGTTTACGGTAAATGTGTCCGGTGGGTATAATTTAAAAACTTTTTACGGCTTCTTTCCCTAAAAAAATCGAATATTCTTAACCCGTCAATTTTTATAGGTTCGGATAGGCGATTAGTTAGGGCTGCTCTGCTCCTCAGCTGTGCATTCGTTGGGCCGGAGCCGATCTCTTTCCGTCTCTAGAATGGAATGAATGACGCAACGAGGGAGACCTCAAAGCAAAGGGACGCCGACGCTACCCTGTCTTCCCATTCTTCGGAGATAACATTGAATGTAATGTCGGGAAAATGTTCAAATATTACTGTCCCAAACGCTTCGTTGAGTGCTTCCGTGAGCCGTCGTTGGAGATGGGACGACAATCGCACGCACGAATAATGATAACGATAATGATGGTAATAAAGAGACCGGTTTACGAGACGACTATTGTACTTTGTACAGTGACCCAATGACCTTAGTCCACTAACGAGTGGGACAATTTGCAAGCCGTCACCTATTGTTACTTAGGTTTAGGGAATTGAGTCCTCTGCCTAGATTGGGGAAATGGTTTTGTACCTTGTGATCAAGATGAGGATGACCAGTTAAAGTTGTGGATGGAATTGTGGCATGCTAGGGTTTGGATTAATCTCAAATAAATTTAACTAATCAGGCAAAAAAAGTTGTAGACTTTGACTCTCTTAACAGCTTGGCTAAAATGATTCATGAGAACAGATTTTCTCATCTACTCGATTTCTTCTAGCACGCACCCGTTGTTCAATTTATCTAAGCTTTCGATTGATTTTATTGCGGTCGGAGCGTCTAATGCGACTAAGCGACCGGCGAGGCCGTATTTTAGTGTCGATGTGCGTCTATTCACAAAATCGAGCAAGTAAAATTAGATTATCACATTGTCAAAACCATTATTTCACACGTTCATGTCATTTGTTTCGAACGGGAAACTTATCGACTGTAAATATCCTCACACCAACATTCATTTATCGAAATGAAGGGAAAGAGCTTGTCGCAAATCTCAGATTGAATGACTATGGAGCATCACTTGAATATTACCACCTTCGGGTCGTCCACTTGATACTCCACATGATAGTATCGATCTAGCGTTTATATCTTGTAAAGGACTCAAAAGTTCATTTTTTTTCAACCTTTTGGGAGTCTATTCCAAGCCTGATAATGGAGAGTCTAACCAACTCTAGTAAAGGAACCAATGGACTAGGTCTTCGTATTCACGAAAACTATCGACCGAGCTGACTAACCACGTCAAATTGCATGAACAATTCAAGGAACGAGAGAACTTGTGGGTACAGTTTAGACGTACGGCGTAGATCCGATCCCGTGCCATCGAATGCCACACAAACTTATGGTCAAAGCGATTGTTCATATGTCAATCGGGAAAATTGTCAAAAAGTCATAAACCCGTTGACGCTGGTCCAATTCAATCATAAACGTTTCGATTTTACCAATTTAATCACAAATTTTTTTCCTATTTGCCAATGTAATCCTCCCGGCCCATTTTTGACCGAAAAAATTACCGACGTGGATGTCAATCGTCCTACCTAGCGTGATCACCATGTCAGCGATTTCCGATCAAAATTGATCGGAAAGATTACAATAGCAAATGGTCCGGGTTTATGTCTAAACCCAAAATCATAAAGTTTAGGGTGATCGAATCGACGCGACGTCGATTTAGGTTTTTTGGGACAACTACCTTGTCGAATCTTGTCCATGGTATCTGGGGATGATAAACGAGCATTCAACGAAAGATAAGAGAGAAGGTGGAATGTTGGTGGCAGACGTTAGAAACTAATGAGCGACCAAAAGCTAAGCCAGAAAAAATCTCTGTGATAGCTCCCAGACTCTGCCATGGTTGGATCGTGAAATATATACCACGCGTACCTCAAGTCGATGCACGAAAAGGGTTGTCTTGTTCTCACGAAATCTGAACGCTTTGGACCACTTTGGAGGCACTCCTAGTCCTCGAGCGTCTCGGACCGGTGAAATTTAGGCATTCGGCTCAAGTTCGAGGACCACAGAGAATTTTTCCTCCGTCCGTTTCCGGCTTGTCCGTATCGTTTTGCAATGTCCCCCTCCCGTTCGGACATTCATCCCCCTTAGGGAACAAACGTAGGGAACTCTTTCTATGTATCTCCCCCCAATGAAATGAGCACGAAAGAAATTGAACCACACATTATTCCATGCGCAATGAGAGCCGAACATAATTCCTCGCGTGCGCGTCTAGATTACAGATGCAGGGAAATTGTCCAATCAAAACCTAAATTCACAGAACGAATGCCAATTCGGTGCTAGAATTTTAGTTCCGCCAATTTAATGTTAAGCCTTTACGCGAAATTCTGATGTAGACCTTCCGATCAGTCTTCAACGGAAGTCGCTGACGTGGCGGGGATGACTGGATTGCCACATCAGTGATTTCGGGCGAAGATTGACCAGAACGGTTGCATCGGAATTTCACGAAAAGGTTTAGGACTACATTGACGGAATTAAAAAATTTATGACTAAATTGACATTCATGGATATATGGAGATTTCATTACTAAAATGAGGATTTGTATGACGAGCTATTTGGGTTTTAACATCTAGCTAAATGAGCCAATTAATTGACACGTTGAGAGCGCGCTTGTTTCACGGTAAATGAATGATTTGAAAAATAATTTTCTTAAAAACGATATCTTGTATCACTTAAAACAATAAATGAATAAAAAATATTTTCATCATCTACAAAAATGTATAGAACAAAGATTGTTGTCGATAATGAAATTTTTTTTATTGACTTATCATTTGAAGTGATACCCACGATAATGTTTAGGAAAAAGGTTTTCTAAATTGCTCATTTTTCACGGAACGAGCAAAGCCTAATTTATTACGTAATACTCCATAGCATACGTCACAAGACCAAATCGAGCGATATCTCTTAGATCAGTTGTTTGGGCCGAGTCATAGTATTGTAACGAGCACGAATGATTAAACATACTGCATTAGCATCGCATCTACATTTTCAATTCCCGACCTCTGTGTACGACCACATGCGCCGATGTAAGACCAAATAACGAGAAAA